GCCACCAAGGAGGCCGAAGTCAAAGAGGCTGATGAAAAGGCCTATGCCCAGGGTATGGCCGACGTCACAGAGGATTATAAACTTCAAGTCAGGCAGGCAGGCAACAGGGGATTTTCCCTTGGTTGGATGTCCCTGATAAAAAAACTTGATCTCCCTGTTGACTCGCCCTTTCGTAATGCCGATGCCATTCCTTTACCATTTCCTCCTCCAAGTCAGGTTGAAGACGAATCAGAGACTGAAGCTGATGCCGAGGATGAGGATGAAGGGAAAAATGATGATGAGGCCTTGGTGAGGAAACCCAAGGATGCTGCTGAAGCTAAGTCCCCCCTCCTGCTGAGCAAGTGATGGATTTAACCTTGGATGAGGAGGGTGATAAGGTTGGGGAGGCACCCAAGGAAATTGCCATCGGGCAACTATCATCCGACCTTCTTTTGGCTGAAAGAAATCTGGACAATACACTGGCTGAGATTGATGCTGAGATAGAAGCAGAAAAGGTTGCCGAGGACGTTCCACCAGAATCGTCCGAGGTCCCAGTCCCTGCAGCTGCTAATACTGAAGAGTCTTGATTTAAAATGTCTTTTGTACTTTTTCCTTCTTTTTCTGTACTTTGCGCTTTGTACTCTCTTTTAATTTCTGGATAATGCAAAACTCCTTCTTTTGGCCGACGTAGCTTTTTCAATATGTATTTGCAACTGTTCTTTCTATGGATGTTTTGTGATGTTCTGTTGATTGCTTCTGCATAGTTCTATACTTAGAAATTTTTGCATGCTTTTTAATTTTGCTTCCTTTGTGCAATCTTCTCGGGGTTACATACCTCGGGTATAACTACAAAACTTTTACTTCGGCAAGATACTGACCTGCAAACCTTTCATAAATTTTAACAAGTACAAAACATATACTACTTAATGCAAACTTTGCAAGCTTTTTCTTCAAGTTTCAACAAGTATTAAACAGTGATTTTGGTCTAACCTACTTGTAAATTGCTACAAATTTCAACAAGCGAATTAAGGAATAATGTCGACTTAACTTCAACTTGTAAATTGCTACAAATTTCAACAAGCGAATTAAGGAATAATGTCGACTTAACTTCAACTTGTAAATTGCTACAAATTTCAACAAGCGAATTAAGGAATAATGTCGACTTAACTTCAACTTGTAAATTGCTACAAATTTCAACAAGCGAATTAAGGAATAATGTCGACTTAACTTCAACTTGTAAATTGCTACAAATTTCAACAAGCGAATTAAGGAATAATGTCGACTTAACTTCAACTTGTAAATTGCTACAAATTTCAACAAGCGAATTAAGGAATAATGTCGACTTAACTTCAACTTGTAAATTGCTACAAATTTCAACAAGCGAATTAAGGAATAATGTCGACTTAACTTCAACTTGTAAATTGCTACAAATTTCAACAAGCGAATTAAGGAATAATGTCGACTTAACTTCAACTTGTAAATTGCTACAAATTTCAACAAGCGAATTAAGGAATAATGTCGACTTAACTTCAACTTGTAAATTGCTACAAATTTCAACAAGCGAATTAAGGAATAATGTCGACTTAACTTCAACTTGTAAATTGCTACAAATTTCAACAAGCGAATTAAGGAATAATGTCGACTTAACTTCAACTTGTAAATTGCTACAAATTTCAACAAGCGAATTAAGGAATAATGTCGACTTAACTTCAACTTGTAAATTGCTACAAATTTCAACAAGCGAATTAAGGAATAATGTCGACTTAACTTCAACTTGTAAATTGCTACAAATTTCAACAAGCGAATTAAGGAATAATGTCGACTTAACTTCAACTTGTAAATTGCTACAAATTTCAACAAGCGAATTAAGGAATAATGTCGACTTAACTTCAACTTGTAAATTGCTACAAATTTCAACAAGCGAATTAAGGAATAATGTCGACTTAACTTCAACTTGTAAATTGCTACAAATTTCAACAAGCGAATTAAGGAATAATGTCGACTTAACTTCAACTTGTAAATTGCTACAAATTTCAACAAGCGAATTAAGGAATAATGTCGACTTAACTTCAACTTGTAAATTGCTACAAATTTCAACAAGCGAATTAAGGAATAATGTCGACTTAACTTCAACTTGTAAATTGCTACAAATTTCAACAAGCGAATTAAGGAATAATGTCGACTTAACTTCAACTTGTAAATTGCTACAAATTTCAACAAGCGAATTAAGGAATAATGTCGACTTAACTTCAACTTGTAAATTGCTACAAATTTCAACAAGTAAATTAAGGAATAATCTCGGCTTAACTTCAACTTGTAAATTGCTACAAATTTCAACAAGTAAATTAAGGAATAATCTCGGCTTAACTTCAACTTGTAAATTGCTACAAATTTCAACAAGTAAATTAAGGAATAATCTCGGCTTAACTTCAACTTGTAAATTGCTACAAATTTCAACAAGTAAATTAAGGAATAATCTCGGCTTAACTTCAACTTGTAAATTGCTACAAATTTCAACAAGTAAATTAAGGAATAATCTCGGCTTAACTTCAACTTGTAAATTGCTACAAATTTCAACAAGTAAATTAAGGAATAATCTCGGCTTAACTTCAACTTGTAAATTGCTACAAATTTCAACAAGTAAATTAAGGAATAATCTCGGCTTAACTTCAACTTGTAAATTGCTACAAATTTCAACAAGTAAATTAAGGAATAATCTCGGCTTAACTTCAACTTGTAAATTGCTACAAATTTCAACAAGTAAATTAAGGAATAATCTCGGCTTAACTTCAACTTGTAAATTGCTACAAATTTCAACAAGTAAATTAAGGAATAATCTCGGCTTAACTTCAACTTGTAAATTGCTACAAATTTCAACAAGTAAATTAAGGAATAATCTCGGCTTAACTTCAACTTGTAAATTGCTACAAATTTCAACAAGTAAATTAAGGAATAATCTCGGCTTAACTTCAACTTGTAAATTGCTACAAATTTCAACAAGTAAATTAAGGAATAATCTCGGCTTAACTTCAACTTGTAAATTGCTACAAATTTCAACAAGTAAATTAAGGAATAATCTCGGCTTAACTTCAACTTGTAAATTGCTACAAATTTCAACAAGTAAATTAAGGAATAATCTCGGCTTAACTTCAACTTGTAAATTGCTACAAATTTCAACAAGTAAATTAAGGAATAATCTCGGCTTAACTTCCTACTGCCACAACTGTAACCGCGTCTTCATCCCGAACAGATCAAGGATCCACCTCCGAAGGCTCCGGCGGTGGTTCTTCCACCCGGGGGCACTCCGACGATCAAGTCAGTATATCTCTCAAAGATAATCAAGTGCTAAACTTAATACTCAAAACATAAATTGCATACCTTAGACCCACGGGGGTGCCTCTCTTTTATAATATATTCAATCCAAGTCCTACTAGAAGTATGACTTCTATGAACTCCAATTCAGTGTTTACTTTGGACTCTTTAAGAGATAAAGATAAACTCCCTAAGAGCTTTATCCTTATCTTGGTTAAGTCCCCTCTTCGTCTTAGGACTCTTGTCCCTTATTCGTTTATCTCGGATTCCGATATCTTCGGAGATAACCTCGGCAACACCGAGATCACCTCGGCCTAACTACCACGACACGTGGCACCTCGGCTGACACGTCGGCGTCACCATGCCACGTGCTGGTATTCAGAAAATATATCCCCACACTACGTGATACTCAAAGCATAGAAAATCACAAATCACGCTAAGTGGTATATTAACTACTTGAAAATAATGAGTTCATTATATCCAATCTATAATATTTTTTGCTACACTATTGATTTAAACTACTATATAAATAATATCACATAATGTTCTCAAAGTATCAAATAATTACTTATTGTGAACAATATAATAAATTATCAGCCATAGAACATGTTAAGGGAAAAAAAATACATTTTATACATGACCCCAAAAAAAAAAAAAATTGCAAAACTGAGGGAGGGACACGTGACCTCCCTCGGCCTATGCTGCCTCCACCCCTGCGCACTGCAATCGCTTCACCTTGGCTTACTGTTGTTAATTTGATTCTTGCTGCCATTTCATCCACTAGCTGACCCTTTTCATCCCGAAGAAGAACTGCACTGCACGTCTCTACCGCCGCAAATCAACAACTGCGTCACAATTAAATTTCCATTTTCCTTTCAGGGGAGGAATTCACCACTACAAGAAATTACACTTTTGGCGACTACTTTTAGCGACAACGTCAATTTTTCATTGCCAAAAGTATATTTTTGGTGACACAGTGATCAATTTCATTAGGAAAAAGAGACCTTTACCAACGCAATTTACTGCCATTGCTAAAAAAGCATAACATTCATTGGGCGCCAAAATTATTGGTTGGCACCAAAATTTCAAAAAATTTAGTTACGACGCTTATTTTTTAGCAACACAATAAGCGTCGCTATTAATGTGCTTACTTTTGGTGACGACAAGTTGGCAAGGGCAAAGAGTTAAACATTTAGCGACGATAACACTATTCGTCGGTAAAAATTTTGTTAGTGAAATGAGGTGATTTAGTGATTTGTGTTTTTATTATAACTTTTCAAAAAGTTTTAAATATTCTAGTTATTGAATTGTAAAATTAAAGTGATCATCGAATTAGATCACAAAATGAACCCATCAAGCCCAAACACACTCTTAAGTTCATATGGCTAATTTGAGATAATCTAAATTTTTCTGAAGAATGTGATTAGATTATCAGTTTCAATATGTTTGGTTTTATTTTCAGAATTTCTTTTCCTAAAAAAAAAAAATTACTTATTATTTTTGTATAATTGTATCTTTTAGGAGGTCATAAATAATTTTTAAATTTTTAAAAATATATTTTTGATTTTTATTGTTCAAATTAGTTTTAATTTTTTTTTATAGCATTCATTCCAATTTTAATAGCCTTTTATAAATGCTATAACAAAATCAGTTAAGCTTTAGATTCAAATGGCATTTTATTATTGTTATAATTGAAAATATAATGCTACGAAAAACATTAAAATAAAAATCCCAAAAATTTTGGCGCCACCAGATTCCCCGCGAGTTTGGTTCCCTTATTCTTCTCTCATCATGGGCTATCAGTTCTTAGGGTTTTTGAAGCAAACCAATTTGAAAGAAAACTGAATGTAATACTCTCTCTCTCTCTCTCTATTTATTATATAAATATTTATTGATTATAGTTGTTGTTCATTTTGATATGAAGCATCAAAGACTATTTATTGATCTCAGGTCCCATAGAGAGAAGAAAGAGATTCCAGAATTAAACAGTGAGTATTTTTCTCTGATTTTATTGGAGTGATTTGGTACATGTTAATTTCACCAAAGTGTTATCTTTGATTTTCCGATTTTGATTTTCGGAATTAAACAGTTAAATTTTTATTCCAATTTTGATTTGTGTTATCTTTGGTTTTCCATTGAAATCTACATTGATTTGTTTAGTGCTCCCATATATTGTTATAATTCATTATAATAATAATAATAATAATAATAATAATAATAAAACTTCCAAAATTACTACGTGATAAACACACTGCCCAAATTTTTTGTCATGAATAATTTATTTAAAAATAGATACCTTTTAACAGAGCATCATAGTCCATCATAGTAGTTGGGCCCTCTTTATGTTACTGTTATGTTGCTTGTTTCTTTTCTTTTCTAACTTTGTTCCTTTAGTTGGCTGCTCACCAACTTGGGGGTTGCTCACCAACATGGTTTGTGAGAACATGGTAGGGAATAGTAGTTGGGCCCTATTTGTGTTACTGTTATGTTGCTTGTTTCTTTTCTTTTTTGTCTTTGTTCCTTTGGGCTTAGAAATTTTAGCATGCACATAATTCCAAAAAATCTAGAAAACCTGGGGCCCGGGATTTCAGCAACCAATAGCATGAAAATCAAAAATACCACAAAAGGCCAACTGGTCCCTGCTACATAGACTATGTACACCACTACTAATGGCAGACTCCACAGTTTCCTAGTACAGCCCACTAGGATAAGCAAAATAAAATAAACATTTTCTGATATTAAGCATCTTAGACATAAGGTAATAACATAAAAAGTAAACTAATTGTGCTAGATGCACCTTTATTGACGATTAGTGGTGACTTCTGATTCAGAATTGTGTAAGATGTTATAAAAATTTCCATTTTTGGTTTTAGGATTGTGTCGGATTTGTTCTAGTCTTTCTTGTTGCTTAAAAGTAAAATGGAGTCTTGATTGCATATAAGCATTTTGAAAGATTGAACCCTTTGATAGATTGTGACACTTGGAAGACTCTGTTCCGTAGTCAAACAAATCATATAGATAAATATATCAATGCTAGATTTTGTTTACAAGATTGTTTTGTTAATGGAGCTTTTTCATTTGTTGACAACACTAGGCATTAAGCAACAACATTAATTAAATGAACTGAATTAACCAGATTATTATATAAAACAATTTGATAATCTTGATGCATAGTTAGATCATTCTACCATGTGGGTTTGATAGTCAGCTTGAATCAGTGTGGTTTTAAATTAAGAATGGTATAGAAAAATCAGCATCTGCCACTCAGATTTGTTCCTATGACGAATTCAGATTTTGATGTAGAAGTTTCATAATAAGTTATGTTGTTATGGTTTCCCCTTACTGTCTGAAGCATATAGGAATATCATATGTCAATTTAACATTTGCCACTTGCTGCATCACCCCCGGCAAAAAAAAAAAAAAAAACACAGCATTGATTAATTTTATTTTATATTTTTTAAAAGAATGTGTATATGCTAGGTTTTGGATGTAATGCCCATTCTTGTTCCTGATTTTGCTTGTCCTTCCCATGTACTTTGGCACCCGAAAATCTACAGAAAAAGTTCCACTCAACAGTTTCAATATTTATTAATCCTTTAAAATTCATGACTAAGTTTAGGCATGTAAAATAAAAAAACACTTATTTATTTATTTATTTATTTTTGTTGATAAATGTAAAAAACAGTTAACTTAATACATAATATATGCGGATAGAATAGAATTTTAAAAGATTTGTTGGTCAAAACCTGGATACAAAATTAAATAAGTCTATAGCTAGATGCACCTTTATTGACATTGATGTGTCACTTTACAATAATATTAACTACTTTGTCTTCATATTTAGATATTAAATAATTAAATAAAAATAAATAAATAAATACATAAATAAATAAATAAAGGTTGTGCCCCATTGGTATTAACTACTATCTTGTGATTAGATATGGACAAGAGTTGGATGTTAATTTCTGATAGATTCAGTCAGCTATATGTGGATGGGGTGAACTCATTTATTGCATTTGCAAAGGCTCATTTGGGTGAGGCTAGAGAGATTAAGTGCCCATGCATCAATTGTTGTAACTTTTATAAGCATGAGTATGATATTGTGAAGGGTCATTTGCTCATAAATGGGATGATAGTATCATACACCACTTGGTTAGAACACGGTGTACTTCCAGAACACAATAACCTTGATGAAAGCAATGGTGAAAATAACAAGGATCAAAATGAATATGATGAACTGATAGAGGACTATCAGAGGGGGAATTGTATGGTGGGTGATACTCTAGAAAGAGAGGATGTACGACACTTTGATAAATTGTTAGATGCTTCCCAATGTTGCTTGTACCCAAGTTGCAAAAACATATGGTTATGTATTAATTTGTTATAATTAAATTATTGTGCAAAAATCCACCCATAAAAGACTATTGTTTAAGGAGTAATTTTCATGCATCAACAAGCATAATTTTCATTGTCAATTTTTGTTGAAGGTTTCTCAGGACCTTGAAAGGGTATGTCAGTAATAGAGCACGTCCAAAAGGTTCTATTGCTGAGGATTACATTGTCAGAGAGTGTCTTACTTTTTGTTCAATGTACTTAAAAGGGATTGATAAACCCGAATGAAATGATGATGGTGGTAAACGCAGTCCAGGGATGGAGGTCTTCACCAAAAATGCTTGTTTATTCTCACATATCACAAGGGTTCTTAACCCTTCGCAAAATGAACAAGAAATGGCTCATTGGTTTGTGTTATACAATAACTCTGAGGTGGAGCCATATATTGAGTATGTATTTCAATTTAATTATGTTTATGCATAATCATTCCATTTTGTTTTGAACTCTCTAAGTTAATTACGTGTATCGCATTTCCTTGGGTAGGAAGTAGAAGACTATTGTGCGTAATCTACAAGGACGTGACATAACTCCGGTACAACAAGAAGAATTTCCAAAAGGGTTCAAAAATTGTGTAAGATATACTAAAGAACTTAACTTAATACAATTGTTGTAAATTTCAATTTACATTAACTTAGTACACTTGTTATATGGTGTTTTATGTAGATGAATGATTTGCAAACGAAAGGGTCACCTGAAGCAACTAATGAATTATGTCATTAGCAAATGGTCTTGGATTGGTAATTGACTTTTATTCTGGGTGCATCTACAATAGAATTCGATTCCATACTAGAAATTGTGAAAATCGTCGTACCTGCCAAAATAATGGGTTGGTCATAGAAGGGGACCATAATGGGAACCAAATTAATTTTTACGGCTACTTGTGCAAAATATGGGAATTGAAATACTTGCATGGGGGTATAGTGGTTTTGTTCCAATGTGAATGGTATGACACCGGTCACAAGAATAGAATATACTCTGATGAACATGTCACAAGTATTGATGTTACAAGACTTTGGTATAAAGATGACCAATTTGTTCTACTTAGTCAGGTAAGACAAGTATTTTACGTCAATGATACCAACAAAGGCAAAAATTGAAGAGTCGTTAAACGGCTAAAACATTGAGGAGTATGGGATATACCAGAGCATGATGATGTCTCTAATGATGCTTTTCAACAGGGTGAAACCACTGATGGGGTTGGGGTAGTGATCCAAGATAATGATGTTCAATATAGCAGGGATGATATGGATCCTGAGATCATTTCAATGATTAACTAATGGCAGAGAATTTAGGTTACAATGATGATGAGAATGACACAATCATAGAGTATAATAATGATGAAGATGATGAACTGCATAGACAATTTGATGTTGATACAGATCCTGATATAGATCTTGATATAGATTATCATATGTAATGTTTGCTTTTTTATTATATGGACAAGTGTTATAATTTAATAATAAATTGCTTGGTTTACATTTCATGTCATTTTTTTTCAAATTTCATAGCATTTTTTCTCATTTCATTGCATTTAATTATATGCCATATCTATAGTTGCAAAGATGTCCAGAAATGGTAAATTATTTTTGAAGCCTAGCGGCTTGGTCCAGAAGATGACAAAATATGAGAAGGATAGAAAAAAAAAACAATTCAAAAAAATAAAATCAGATTTGATGCTCTAGGGATAAAGTCCCTCAAGAATTCAATGTTTGGTTCTATTGAAAAGGACAATAGTAAAAGTTCTAGGGTGGGAAAGAGAAAGGCGGTGAAACTAATAATGACAAGGACTATCAACCACTTGATGATCATGAAAGACTGAGTTCTTCAAGTGATGATGGCAAGCCTTTTGATTCTCAAGTGATTGAGGTAATAGATGTGTATATAAAAAGTAATTTCTAGATGGTTTTCACTTGTTATATTACTCGTGTTATGTCTAGTTATTTCAAACTTTTTTTTTAATAAGCAACCTTAAATTATTGAAAATGTACTAACAATTCATTTTTATACTATGTCAGGATATTCATATGGGTCCTGGTAAGAAAACAAATAGGTCCGCAGCTCGCCTAATAGCTTCACAAATACCTAGAGAAGAGAGAAGTACTCTTGATGAAGATACACTTACTCTTCCGAGACGACCTTTACCAGCACAAGTTAATCATTCAGAGAGCACACCTAAGGTGTGGACCCAACCTATCCATCTTCCCGCCTTATGTACTAGGCCCGATCAGCTCCTTACCTTAGCCACTCAACCTAAACACCTTTCGAGCCCATGTGCTGTGACTAACAGTGGAGGTGAGAAATAAATGACCACTTTAATGAAATGATAATTTCTTATCTCAATATTTATTTAGTTCATTCATGTTTTATGTCGACTAACTTGAATAAAATTTTGGTCATAATAGCATCAATTCCAGTTTTGGGCAAGAAGCGTGTACGAGGACCGACCTGAGGAAATAATGTGGAGAAGATTAGAAAGGAACGTGGTAATCGCATAGCCATTACACTTAATCGTTTGACCAAAGCAATAGAAAAGGGATTACGCCACACCGCTAGCAGCTGCTCTTGGTCAACAAATTTGAGTTCATGCCCCAGTTCGAAATGATGAATGGATAGCCATTGCCTTTGGGTTAAGAGAGTCCATTGTTACAAGAGTTGAGGTAATTTGAAATATATGTATTATATATTTAACAAGTTATTTATCTTAATCGTAATGATATATAAAATATATTGAATTTTATTCTTTCCAATTGCAGTAAACTTTTGACTTTGGGGATTACAATCATGATGTGGATGTGAGATGTATTATTGATCAGAAGTGCCAAACTTTATACAATGAACGGCAAAGTAGATTACACATGCACTACAAATCCTTTAAAGAAGAGAAATTGGAAATGGATGATTAACAATCTATGGAAAACTGATGATTGGAAGGTATTGGCAAAAATATTTACCAAAGTAATATCCTCCTTGTATATTAATTAATGTTACCTATTTTTGTTTTTATTTGTAGGAAAAATCAGAGAATGCGATGAAAGCAAGATGTTGTGTGGAGTATAATCATACGAGTGACTCGAGATCGTTTACGTCATGAGCATATATCCTTGCAAGTGTAGATATACAAATTTGAACATACTAAATTATAAATACAGAATTATTGGTTGACTGTAAAATCTAATGAAATGAAAGGTACAAGGAAGCAAACCAACTATTACGATCACACCCACAAACTACCGACACGGGGGAGTGTGGATAAATAGCTCAGTTGAGGAACATCATGTAACCATAACTATTTCAATTTCAATAATATATGCCTGCATTTTGATATTATGTTTTAATCTTACTTATATTTCATTCATAGGCCACTATGGTTTCAAAGATCGCTGAGCAATCTCAACCTAGTATCACACATCCATTATCAAAGGAGCAGATTTTCGGGGAAATACTTGGGAAAAGGTCGGTCTACTTGAAGGGATATGGGATCCGCAAGGACACTACTTCATCTTCCACACATTTTGAAGCTCCTAACTCTGAGGTGATTGTTCTTCAACAGTAGTTAGTTGACTAACGACAACAATTGGCTGACCAGGAAAAGCAGTACTTGACCAGGCTCAAAACATGAGTACAATGCAAGCTGTTATTCAAATGTTGGTTGCAAAAAATAGGATAGATCTAGCAAACATTCCGGGGTTAGTTCCAAGCAACAGTGTCGGGGAGGATGCATTAGGTGTAAGAGAAGATGAAATTTCTCTCGGTTGAAATAGAGGTAAATTTGATACCTCATTAAACTGATTTACTTTATTTAACCGATTCTAACATGTGTCAACAATCTAAATTATATAAACTTAGGGAAAACCATCGAAATGAGGTAAAAAATCCAAATAAGGTAAAAGTGATATGGAATATTGTGAGTGGAGTTCCTGATAAAACTGATATGGAATTAGCTGCATATGCCTATGTTGATAATTTAAATCAATTAGTGTATTTTTTTTTATTTTGTTGGAGAAATCATGTCGAAATTAATTTTAGTAAGTGTTTTTATTTTGACTTGCATAGAAATTTAGTTACTTTAATATTATCCCCCTTGCCATAATCCCCCCAACTCCATGAAGTGTGGCAATTTTTTAATGATGATATGTTTTCCATGAAGTGTGGCAAATTTTTTGTTTTTTTAAACTCCCATCACTCAGCAGCCCTCCCATAACTTGATGTATGGGGTTTCAAAGTGGATTATGAAATTAGAGTAGATAATACTTTCTGGAATTAGAGCTTGCATTTTCTGCCCTTTATACACTATTAAGCTTGGGTTAGTTCTATAAATGTTGTTAACACCAAAAAATCAACCCCTTGCTTCAAAGTCTGCAATTTAGTTATATGGAAATTGTTCTTTTTAATAAGCAAATTCTGTTGGCCTTGTCATATTCTGGGCCAAAACTTTGCTATTATTTCTTTCTGCTGCCTGTTATTGCTTGATCTTGTTGCAGCAAAGTTGCAGCTAGCTAGGTTTTACTGCTGCTACAGAGTTGTTCTGGGCATTGGATGGTAATTTGCAGTTCAGTGGATTATTTTGCACTTTAGGGTGCTTTGTAGTTCAGTGGATTAATTATTTCAATTAATTTTAACTATATTTGTATATTATTTTTGAAGTTAATGCATTGATAAAATACTCATGTTTTTATTCTTTTGTTCACAGGTTGGTGATAGATGTTTGTGGTTCAGTTGTGATATATATGGTTATTGAAGATATGATAATTTGTCGTTTGCACCTAGGCATTCATTTTATTTTTCTTTATTTCGTTTTATTGGTTATTTTGTTGAATGATTAGATACTTTTTGGAATTATTATGGTTGGGATTGTTGGATATAGTTAGACACATTTTAGGATTATTATGTTTAGTATTGTTGGATAGTTGAATAAAATTTGGGATATTGAAATGCATATGATATTAATTTGGTTACATTACTAATTGTTATGATGTGTTAAGTTTAGTTTGTATTATTTGTTATATATAGATTTTTGTATGTTTTACAAAGAAATGCAGGTCACTGAGAAAATGGTCCTGTTTGGGCCTGTTGTAGACATCCATATTATTGTTTGTGGTTCTTGAACAGGTTAGTGTGTTTCTGGTGCTGGTTTGTTGTTTGAATAGGTGCTGGTGCTGGTGCTAGTGCTGGTGCTGGTTTGCTATTACTGGTCTGATGGTCTTAGTAAGAGGGCCTTGCTGGTCTGCTGTAGTTGCTGGTTTGCTGTTGAAAATTTGATTTCGTTTTTGTTTTCGCTTTTGCTGTTATTATGGTTTTGATTCAACAAAATTTAAGAAATTAAAAGATTTGTCCACTCAACCTATGGGGCCTCTAATTGGTGTTACTTATACTAGCAAGACGGGGAATTTGTGCCTCTTATTTTCCTTCATTTTGCTGTTGTTAAGTAGTTTTGGATCGTGTAGCATACTGTTCTTCAAAGCACTAACCATATTATTATTGTTACTTTATATTCTTGCAAAAGTACAACAGCCACTGCATTTATACTTGTCGAGTAACAATCCAAAAAGTATTGAAAGTGCAAAGCTTTTGGCTAAAACCCTTTTGGATACAATCAGCATAGAGTGTCGTGCCTCTAGGTAATTAGGTTTAATTTTTGCTTATGTTTATATTAGAGTATGTATGAATATTCTCAATAGGAGAATTATGTCCTCTAAAATTTGTTGAGGGTAACTTAGATTTGTTCTTTTCTTAATTGATAGGTACTTGGAGAATGTAAGCATTTTTGGTAATATGTTGGCATAACATTTTTTATCCTCTTTTGAGAGTTCATATGATGGCCTGTTTGGTGCGACTAAAAGTTAATAATTAGAAAGCGGAAACTAAAAGCACCCATCCCCGATAATCAACCTATTTTTGCCTCATTAGTTGTAAGCAAAAAGCTACAATTCACCAAACACACCAGCTCAAACTCCTAAAATTTTAAAAAAAATTAGCAATCCTTATAAGCTACACTAAACAGGTTGAGCTCTTAGAAGATAGATAAACTTTTTGTTCTTTTTTTTTTTAAAATAATATTTACAATTTAGAAATATTTGTGTTTCATTGAGCATGAAGTATTCAATACTCCTTTTCTTTGCAATAGTATTTTTTTTTGTTGTTGAAGGGACTTTGTCACAATCCATAGGATTGAGCTACACATCCTGGCATCCTGCCATTAATCCTTAGATACACATCCTGGCATCACCACTACCCTTCTTCAACGGACTTTGTCACAATCCATAGGATTGAGTTGCCATTAATCCTTAGCTACACATCTTGGTTTATTTGTTACATTACATAATTGAAAGAAATGTTTGTTTACTTTTGATTTTAATGAAACTATGGCCCTTGATCCAATGGAATGGAAAAACTGAAGTCATGTTACCCGCCCCAAGTAGTTGGGAATAAGGCTTTGCTGTAGCTATTGGTCTGCTACTGTTGCTGTTGCTTGCTAGTCTATTGCAGCTGCTGGTTTACAGCTATTGCTGCTGCCCTGGTGGCTGCTGCTTGTTGGGCTACTGCTGCTGCAATGTTACTGTGAAGTGGCTGCTAGTAAATGCTTGTCTACTGCAATGTTGTTACTGCAATGGTTCTATCCCTAGCCCTGGCTCTGTTTTGGTTAGTTTTGTTAGACATGTCCATATGTGTTTTACATTACTATTTTTAAAATTTTGTTTGATCTAGACATGCTTTAGATATTTGGGTTCATACATGAAACACATTATAAGTTTAAACAAAGTAACTGTCTAGTGGTAAAAGAAAAACAATATGTAACTTTACGACTCATTCTCTAAACTTTACCAATTAATGTTATGTTATATTTTTTTATTATATTTGAATAAAATATTCATCTTTATGACATATAATAAATATACATCTCCCATGTGTTGTAAACTAATTTTTTGAAAATTGTGTCGGCATGTTAGTTTTTTATCACACATCTAGAACTTAGCCTATTAGCCTTAAAGTTGTGGGTTTGAACTTCAGAGAAATCACTTTGTGCAAATAATGTCAAAGGTTAGGTTTATACCCAATTAACCCCTCCCAAATCACCATTCAATGGGGTTTAAACTGGAAGTATTTTTTGTCCGCGTTGTGTCGTGTCGTGTCATGTCAAGTGCCTACATTTATACTTCTTAAATGGTGACTATTTAAACCATTTATTTAGTTTGTTTTATCTCCAATCTATGAAAAATAACTTACATATTACAAGATTACCCAATCTTCATTGCAACCTCAAATTCTTGAAATCAATAAGGAATCCTAATTACCACAATCATATTTTATTTGCAAAATTGAAACTTTAGGCCTACATTTCATAAAGAAATCTAGATCAATGAAAAATTACAACACTTATATATTGTGTATATGCGCGCGCGTGTGTGTGTATGTGTGGTGGTTCTTGCAGTGTTGCATTAAAGTGGGATTGGTCGTCGTAGTGAATTAGGTTGGAATGGGTTAGAATGGGTTATTAATGAAGAAAGTGAGGAATTAGGGTTTTGTGTTTAAATTTAAAAGGGATATTATTGACACCATATTGAAGGCTATATGGTCTGATATGTCATGTTGTTAAGTTCTTAATTGGATTATTTGATATCACCTTAATAAGGGGATAGACACAATTTCACATAAATACGAACAATTAAATAGGTTGAAACAATTAAACTAAAAAAACCCCTAAATTAGAAAGGGAAACATAAAGGTACTAACCTAAAAATTGAAGTAATACAACAAATTGATCACCTATTGGAGTATCAGACTACGTTGAGGTGTGATTGTGTGAAAGAGAGTTACTAGTCGTGGTTGAAGGCCGGTGGTGGTGTTTTGGGCAGCAAAGGTGAAGGTGAAATGTGCACTGAGAGAAATGGAGGAGCAGCTACAAAACAATACTAACAGATTAGACCAGATAGAGATGTGATAGATTGTCCTCGGTGGTGGTGGAAAGCCGGTGATGGCAGAGGGGTGCAAAGGTAGTGGAAGAATGAGTAGGCATACTGACAGTGAGAGAAATGGAGTAGTGTGACATAGACTGAGAGTCGAAGATAAGAGAATGAATATGAGAAACTAGATTTATAAAATGCATATATATATTTAAAAAACCGGTTTAGTTTGGTTTAAACTGCGGTTTTTGAGGTAATGCACTAACCAAACCATCAATGTATAAATGGTTCTCAGCATTTACTAAACCAGGACCGGACCGATTCTGCACAGAACCAAATCGAACCGTATGGACCAGACCAGTTTTTGTGACAGCCCTAGTTTCTAGTTAGGTTAGGTTGCTTGGATATTGCCCAATATCAACTGGAATTCAGGTTGGGTTACAGTTTTGAGGCCTAGAACTGGATTAAGTTTAGGAACAGATATCGATGCTTGATCAAGACTTGGGTCAGTCTTGGGTTGTGCAAAATTGAGTTAAGCCTAATTGAGTTGCATATCTTTATAGTGGCATCTCAATTAGTGTCCATAAGAAAGCATATCATATCTACTTGAAGGATCCTAATTCCTGTGACTAAACAGAATGCAGTCGTAAAATGCATTAAAACCATGGAAAACAAATTTGAGATTGTATGCAACTTTTTTCGATGAATAAGTGCCTGCACACCCAATTATGGTGTTAAATTGGGATTACTCAAGATACTACAGTACTGACAACAGCATGTCACTAGAGATGTCGTAGGTCCAATACAGTCGCTGGTTTGCCCGTGATTTCATCTGATGCCAAGTTGTTTTATAGAAAAATGAAAGACTTAAGCTGAATGAGAGAACACCATGTGGAGTCACACTCTTCAATATTATTTATATGTGAAAATATTACTGAAAGTACAAGAATACCCCTTCTAAACTATTGTTAACATAATAACTAACAAATATATTTCTTAATTTTGAGAGTATAATATTTTTTCCATGAAATATATGATGATTTCTTTTAGAGATTGCAATATGTGCTTTGCATTTCTGTGATTTAAAACAATTGAGTAGATATTGTTGATACTATTCCCTGATTAATCACAAGAAAAATCATCTGCCTTTCTGGCCCTTCTAGAGTGGGCAAAATTTACATTGGTCGTTCTATTGCATACGATTTGAACCATAAGTTCTACTGATTTTCTGTAGGAGAATTGTCTGATGTTGCTGAAATCAAGGTAGATCATAACTTTTGAAACTGGGAGAAACATTATTACATGATTAAACATTGTTATTATGCAGATATCATTTTGCATTATTAACTTCCAAAACTACATGTAGGGGCATCGTCGAACCTACATTGGTGCAATGCCAGGAAAGATGGTTCAATGCTTGAAAAATGTGGGAACAACTAACCCTCCTGTGCTGATCAATGAGATTGACAAGGTATGCCAGGCTTAATAACATCGACAACTAAATGGCTTTGTGTTCTGGTACTCTTTTAGAGTTCAGGATGGGTTTTCTTTGGTTGTAGAGCACAACTGCATGTCTAATATGGACAAAATTGGTTTCCGACCGACTATTGAAGCTTCCGAATATTTGTGACGATTATTTGTAGTGCATCTTAGAAATGATTTTTTTGTTGTTTATTTTGTTTTTTATTTTTCCTTGTGGCAGTTAGGAAGAGGACATGCATGTGATTCGACAAGTGCTATGTTGGAACTCCTTGATCTAGAGCAAAATGCAAATTTTCTAGATCACTATCTTGATGTTCCAATAGACTTATCAAAGGTTAGTTATTGTGGTGGGGGTTTCCATCCATGATATTTGTCTTACAAGTGGAGGTTCTTATTTTTCCCAAGTGTTCTGCTGAAAACTAACAATTCATAGGGTTGTGTTTGGAATGTTTAGCTTCATCATCAATTAGTCTGGACCCAACTCCAAACCTAACAAGCTTCACCAAATTGCTTCATTGTTTCTTTGTCATATTTCTGCATGTTTGTGTAATTTTCATACTAAGATAGTTGGATGCCAAGACTCATGTTGACTTTTAGTCTTTTTTTAGGTAACTATATGTACTTGTTCCCCAACGGAAACTGCATAATGCAATTGAGCTAGTAAAAACCCCATTAAAAAAGTTGGCTTTCCATTGGCTAGAAATTAAACATATCAAAATTTAATAATTAGATAATGTATACATAATTATAAAGCTTCAGGAGTGACGCTGGTAGTAAAGATATCTAAGCTTTCAAAGGGGGCATTGATTCCAGAAACTCAATTTGGGAAATTTAGGGAGCGTTTGGTAGAGTTTTGTAAATATGATTTGAGAGTAAGAGTTGTATTTTGAGTTTACGAGTTTTGAAATTATGATTTGAGTGTAGAAAATTTGTTTGGCTATGATTTTTGCATAGAGTATTGAATTTAGCTTGGAAAGTTTGATGTAGCATGTGAAGTAAGAAACTTTATTTGTTTATGAGTTTTCAAAACTTAATTTAAAAAGTTATAAATCATAATCAAACACATAACTCATAACTCATAACTCAATTGAAATTATTGATCAACATTTATAACCAAACTCTTTTTAAAATTCAATTCAGAAAATGAATTAATAATTTTTTTTTCAATTAATTTTTTTTTGAAATAAAATTTTTTCAATTAATTTGATTTTTCAAATATTTTTTTAATATTAATTTTTTTCAATTACCTTTTTTTTTCAATTAATGTTTATTTCAATTACTTTTTTTCCAAATATTTTTTTTGAAATAATTTTTATTGCAATTATTTTATTTATATTCATTTATTTTTTCAATTAATGTTTTTTAGTTTATTTTCTTTTTCAATTATTTTTTTTTAATTAATTTCTTCCCAATTCAATTTTTTTTATAATATTTTTTTTCAATTATAATGTGTATGATCCCATTGTCATAAAATAATAAAATATAAATATAAATACTTTTGACATGAATAAACATATTTTTTGGCGTTAAGATCCTCTAGAGTGAAACCCTAAAATGATCTTCTACGGTGAATGAGAGGCAGTTGACACATGTCCTACTCACCAACCAAGGGTTGAGATTTTTGGTGAGTAAATTGAAAAAAAAAATTCAAAATTCTGGGTTTCAGAGAATTAGAGAGAGAGAGAGAGAGAGAGAAAGAGAGAAGGGCTGAAAGAAGGAAAGAAGAGGATCCCCACCCCACCCCTGACGTGCTGTCGCTGTCGCTGCCACGTCGACGCCCTGCCCTCCATACTCCAAAGAATCACAATCGTCCATCACCCCTTCATCTTCCCTCTCCTCTTCTTCATTCTCTCTTCAGTTTTCTTTTCTTTTCTCTAAATCTGTGGTTTCTTTTTCTTTTTATTTTTTTGTATTTGTTTTTTATTTCAACAGATTCAAGTAAAAAACAAACAGATTCAAAAAAAAACCACAGAAATCTTTTGAAATATGCTTTAGAAATTGGAGAAAAAATAAGAAAAAAATTTTTGTAAGTCATTTATCTTTCAAGAACAAATACGAAAAACAGTGCACAAAAAGCAAACTTAGAAAAGGATTTTTGTGTCCCTCAAGGTTGGTTTTCTTAGATCTGGGCTAAAAGAGACTTATTTATTTACTAACCTCTTTTGATCCTTTGGTATTTGAACAAATCTCCCACAAAAAGAAATTTATTGTAGTTATTTTTCTAGGTTTTACTTGTTTTCGATAAAATCTTGATATGTTCATTGGTTTTGGTTAAGAAACATGTTGATTTTCTTGTTATTGTTTTAGGTTCTTTGTAAATTTTTGGTGTTAAGGAATGGTAGCTACAATGGATTCATGGAGTAGTAGCTCACTATTTCAGTTAGATTAAGAAAAGAAGAAGAATTTCAGTCAAATTCAGAAAATAAGGAGAAGAGAGGAGAAGGGTGAAACGACGCCGTTTTGGTGAGGGATTGATCTCAATCCTTGGTTTCATTAGTGAGACAGGTGTTGCGCCCTCATAAATTCACTCTATCAGATCACTCTACCATTTCACTCTAGAGGATCCCAACGCTATTTTTTTGTTTATGTGTATTAAATTTATACAATAAATATTATATTCAACCCAAACGCGTTTGTAATTTATATTTTTTAAAAAATAAATAAAACATAATTAATAACATTTTTGTAAATAGAAACCAAAAATATAAACATTACCAAACACTACCTAAACATTTATTTATTTGTTAAATTTTATCACTTTTATAAAAAAAAATTGTAAACCTATACCATTATGTTCACCTTCATTATTGTACTTACCTGTCCATTTTACTATCAATTGCACCTGTGAAAGAGTGAAACAGAGACCCATGAAGTGGAAGTACCATCAATAATGGTAGTGTGTAATGGGTTTGACATTGAAATTACCACATTACCTTTATTTCAGTAAGTACTAAATTCGTATGTTAGAAAAAAATAAATAAGACAACATGGTAATTTCACTCATATTCTGCAGATCCATCAGCTCTCTGCAAAACCTCAGTTGGTCAACTTTGATAAAAGAAAAAAAAAAAAAAGCCAAAATAGTTGGTCAGCTTTGGATCAAAGGAAAAACAAAAATAAAAATAAAAACCCAAAACTCAGCAGTATATTTTTGACCATTTGTTTGACCGCAGCTCTTTATATCACTCTCTTAACCAACAATTCACTTCACAACTTTCAGCAACACCATCTTCATTCCAACAACTTCGTTGCTTCAAAACTTTCACCATCTTCTTCACCGTCTTCGTTACTCTTTATACAAAATACTGTCAATACCCGAACCATACAACCACTTCCTCCACCACCTACCTCAATTAATTTCACATTTAATTAATTTCAAACATTCAAAGGTTCCTTCAGATTTGTTCTGTAGAACTATTTTTGGAAAGTGCCTTCAGATCTGTTTTGTAGAACCGAACAATGCAACAAACCAGATGACCCGACGGTCAACCAGTGGGTCATCCGACAGGTGAACCAACCTCTCCTATTCCAGCTTCCAGCAAGTCTGAACCCGAGGCTGAGCTTTGGCTATATGTTGCTTACCTTTTGCACACCATTTCATACATTTTGCTATTCATTTTTCATACCTTTTGCTATCATTTGCTTACGGTCATAAGTCATGCCGAGAACAAAAAGAGCCAAACCAGAACATGGCCAAACCTCTAGCCCTCCACAATGCCAACAACAGCAGACTTATCCAACAATTGATTTTCTTACGTATAATCATGAACAAGCTTATCCAAATTTTGCCAACCGACAAATTGTTACCAGGAGAAAGGTAAATCTACCTTCTCAATATGATCCTTTGTTGGTTGGCAGACTGGGGATGATGGGATGGCTACCTTTAACTAATTTACCATAAAAGGTATATCCATGTCTTGTGTATTTATTTTACCTTCACTTATGACCTACTGAGGGAGCAGTTGGAGAGAATAGTTTGACATCTTATGTGAAAGGTAAACTAATCACACTGAACCCCACAGTTTGGCACAAATTATTGGAATTCAATCAGGGGATTTGCAAAGTCATTTTCAAAGTGAGGCTGACCTAGTTAACATGGTTGGTGATGTAAGTGAGGTTTATATGACAATTTGTAAGAACCGATTTACCGGCACTAATTTACAAGCACGCCATTTAAAACCCCACCTTCGTATTCTTCATCGATGGATAGTCAAAAATGTCACTCCCAAAAAAGGACATTTTGGTACTGTTCTATTTTATAATGTTTATTTGTTATATTGTTTTGAAATTGGATAAACATTAGATTTATGCTACATAATACTGAAGGAAATGGTGATTGCAAATCTTGGTACTCTCAGTGACCGGTCATTACCTTTTGGCTCTCTGTTAACCAAAATTTTCGAAGCTCATCATGTCAGCCTTGTAGATTGTAATAACCCCGACCCGCAATTAGCCACTAATCAGTAATTAAGGATGTTAATTTAGTGCATAAAATAAATTATGGGTTTATTAGGTAATTTGCATGATCTTTGGCTTCCTATCTGTTACTTGTAGAAATATCTGTCGGGAATTTCGCTCTAATATGAAAATTGAAAGTCTTATCGGCATCCGAATTCGGAATTAGTTACATTAATATGTTATTTGGAATTTTTAGAATGCTATGGCAAATTTTATTAAAAATTGATTCAGTTTAGTAAAAATCGCATGTGATTAAATTGAGCCTTGATGGGAACTATTTTGGGTTAATTGAATTTCGTGCTAACCTGAATAAATTAAGGTCACTTATGTTTGATTTAAATAATGCATGATTGGTACCTAATCTAATCCTATTAATGATCCAAGATGTGATTGAGTGTATAATGTGTTAAGGCATTTTGTGGTGTTGAGTGTAAGGGATTAAAACCCTTGTGTGTGTGTGTTGGAAGTTTGCATGTGTGTGCACGTGTATTGTGCTCAAAGTGAGGTGTGTGTTGTGTATATTCAACTGAGTGAGGGAGTGTAGTAGTTTGCTCATTTGGTCCCTTGTGTTAGAGAGTTTAGCTAGAGAGTGAGAGAGTGAGCTCAAGAGTTTGAAGAAGAGGAAGAAGAAAACTTGGGAGATTCATCTCATGTTTCTGAAATCAAGCTTTGGGTAAGGATTCTATGTCTAAATTCTGTAGCTATTCCTCCATGCATCATGTATTAAGAAAATTATTGAATCATCTATTGGAATTTGAAATGAAGTTGGCCTTTGAGCAAGAAAGTGGCTTGTATGCATGTTTATGGAAGATTATACCTTTTCATTTGGGTTTTGGCCTTAAGGTCCTTGCATGCATGTGAGTTTTAAGCATATCCATGGTTTCAGAATTCATGAGTTTGTTGATCATCATTTGCATGTTTTGAGAAAATCAAGAACATAGTTTGAAAATCTTTCATGCAAGAGTTTTGATCTCAAAATTGGTAAATTCATGAGCTTTGAGCAAAAGAATTTGTAAACAACCACGTGTTCATGTTTTAGTAAAGTTTTCGAGCTTTAAAAACAAGCCATGAATGAGTGTAGCCATTGAAATCGCATTTTGAAGCTCAAGCTCTGTTTTTGGAAACCCAGAATTTCACAGTCCGCTCGAG